TGCGAAACGTTTGCTCGGGAATAAAAAGTGTTCTTTTTTTTCACATCTTCAAGGCTTTCTTCATTCACTGGGTTGTTTTGTATCATACAAAACCATTCTTCTAGTAGCGTTGTGGTTGTTATAACTGCTTCCAACGACAGGCTCGCTCTGGTCAGGTAATCGTGTCTTCAAAACTCTTCGCTTGCAACTGCTCCAGCGGCACGCTCGCTCTAGAAACGTAATCGTGTCTTCACAACTCTTCGCTTGCCTTCCAGCGACATGCTCGCTCTGGTTTCGTAATAGTCCCTTCAAAACTCTTGGCTGAGAAGAAAATCTTTCAACTTTTGTGGTTAGAACCTTTAGTATTTAGGGTTTGCTGCACGCTATTTGAGCAAACAAAACATTCTTTCAACTTTTGTGGTTGGACCCTTTCTTGTTCAGAGGTTGCCACTTGATGGACCCAAAGAAGAAAGTCTCTCACCTTTTCTGGATATTATCTTTAGTGTTTAGGGATTGCTGCAAGCTACTTGATCAACTCAAAGAAGAAAATCTCTCATTTTTAGTAGTTTCACCCTGAAGTGTTCAGAGGGGTTACTGCAAGCTACTCGATGGACTCAAAGAAGACAATCTTTCACATTTTGTGGTTAGACCCTTTAATGTCTGATATTTGATGAGTTTTGAAAGACTTTTCAACTCCTGTGGTAGGATTCTTTAGCAAGCCTCCTAAACCCCGCCAGCCCACAGCCTTCAGCCCTAAATCCTAAACCCTAAAGCAAGCGCTGAGACGAATCTGGAAATCAAGGCCGGATTTTGCCATGTGAAAGTCTTTTCGTTACATTGTGTGTTTTAGATTAGGCTGGTAGCCGATCTCGTGCGGGACCCTTTCCCAAGATGTGTGAATGCACGGACTTTTTGAAAAACATCGGGGATTTTTGGAGAAGCATCGGGGTCGATGCACGGTTTTTTGGAAAAAGCATCGGGGTCGATGCGCGGATTTTTGGGACCCGGACGGCTCTGGTTCTTGTCGGCGGTAGGTCCTGGAGTTCCTCGCAATCGTGAACTTGTTGACCTGAGCCATAGTGGGTGTAGTGAGAAGGCCCCGAGGGAGCAAGAGCTACCACGTGGACCACCTGCCCGACCATGAAAGATATCCTGGGCATAGCTGAGCAGGCCACCTCCAATGTACTGTACTGTACACAAGCACATAGACGAGGCACACCTGGCAGGCCCAGTGGTACTGAAGCATAAAGTTCAAAGGGCACTCTCGGTGGGGTGAGTAAGGCTCTTGCCATGAATCTCAGTGAGCAGGAGATAGAGTACCTGGCGTGCCGCAAGCTCGTTAAGGAAAAAGATTGGTTCGATGCACGGGTTTTTGGAAAAACATCGGTCCGATGCACGGATTTTTGGAAAAACATCGGTCCGATGCACGGGTTTGTTTATCAGCACGGGTTTTTGCAAAAACATCGGCCGATGCACGGATTCTTGGAAAAAACCATCGGTGTCGATGCACGGATTTTTGGAAAAAACATCGGTCCGGTGCACGGTTATTGGAAAAACATCGGGGTCGACTGCGCGGATTTTGGGAAAAATCATGTAAATATACATGGTGGGAGAGGCTTAAGATTTTAGGGTTTAGGTTGTATATAGGTTTGTAGGTTTAGGGCTTAAGATTTAGTGTTTATGACTTAGGTTTAGGGTTTAAGATTTGGGGTTTAAGGGTTTAGAGTTATTTAGGGTTTTGAGGGTTTAGGGTTGAAGTGTTTAGGGTTCAGGGTTTAAAATTTCGGGTTTGAGGGTTTACGGTTTAAAGGTTTAGGGTTCAGGGTTTGAGATTTCGGGTTTCGGATTTAAGACGTATATAGGGTTTAAGGGTTTAGGATCTAGGGGTTTTGGCCACCATCCACACCAGCACCACCACCAGGCACACCCCTGACACTCCGAGGGTGGGCGATCCGGGCGCGGATCCACCCCCCCTGGATTCGTACTTTTTCGTACTTTGTTTCACAAGTTACAACATAAAGGTACGAGACATTACAAACCCACTTTAAAAGCAAAAGTACGAAGAAGGTGCGAATTTTCAAAAGTACGAAAAAATACGAAAACGTACGAATCTTGGTCTGCTCGGCAGATGGCTGGCTGGCTGGGTGGCTGGCTGGGCAGCTGGTCAGTGGCCAGCCACCCAGCCAACCCGGCCAACTCTCCAGAACCCGGGACCTCTGCAACTTCTACAGTCCGTTTGCAAAAGCATTTTTCGGTTTTCTGGCCTTCTAAGATTAACCAGAAAGCTAAGCCAGTTCGAAGACTCTCGAAGCCAGGGCTCTGTAGGGTCTTAAGATTTCAGGTTCCGTGACGTCTTTGATGGCTTTTTTCCGTGTTGAGATTCAAGGACTGGGGAATTTAGAGTGTTGTGGTTTGAGATTTGGGGATCTAGTATTAATTTGAGCGCGTTGGGAGGGGGGCGCCAAATAGGAGCTCAAACATTATTTGTGCTGTTCCGTGGTCTCAGCAGTCTTAGCAGTCTCAGCTCCGACCGTCAAGAGCGCAGGAGCAACGAGGAACCCAATCATCAATTGCACTTCGGTGCATGGCCAACACGGCTCCAGAATCTCCAAAGGAGAGAATGTAGTCGTTGCCCACCCGCCGACCCAGGTCAGAACAGTCCTTCTGCTTTTTGAGGGTTTTTCGGTGTCTTGATTGAAAGGCTTTCGGGTTTTTATGGTTTTCGGGTTTGAAAACTGCATGTGTCAATCCGCGAACTTGGAAGCGTTCAGATTACAACGCGGTCAGTCACCCTTGCAACTTCGTTTTGATTATGCCGCATTATGCCTGTGTAGATCCCCAAGCAATGATGACCACAACGACCCCGACCACTAGGACCACCAATTCCACCCCGACGACCACGGCCACCAGCAGACCACGAGAAGACGACCAGCACACCCACCGATAACCCAACGGACCACGAGGAGATCAGCAGCAAACAGCACGGAATTGTCTCGGAGGCTGGCAGGACCATAGGACCACCAGGACCACGACCAACAACTTCGCCGTGGCATGTACTGTTTGACAGGCATGGGTACCACATTTTCCCCGTCTTGTCTGGTGGAGCATTTTCGGGGCACTGTGCCAAAATTGTTCCCTGCATCTACTGTTTCGAGAGTTTTCAATCATGTTTCAGCTTGAATGCGAATTGAACTCTTGAAAATTGAAACGTCCCGACCTTGAAATGAGACAGTTTCGTCATCCAGGAAGTGGCATGGTCTGTATTGACAAACTGTCCCAGGCCACAGGTTGTACCATTGTTCTGCGGAGGGAAGATTTTCAATCTTGGTCCCCGTGGCCGCGGCACACAGTGGTCACAAATTGTGAATAGTAACAGCAGTCTATGATGACATGCAGTGGTTTCGGCATGAGGGTCAAAACAAGTTGCAGCTGGCTCAGGCTCAGGGAAGTAGAAGCGTCCCGTGTTGACATCCGATTATGTCGTTGCAGGACCCAAGTGCGAACACGTCTATGGATGGCCGGAACCGGGCATCTCAGAACCGCAGGACTTCCATGCCCTTTTCAACAAAGAGATCGATCGCTATTTGGCCAAGCTTGCCACTCGAGGCAAAACATCAGCAGGCACGGATGATGCGGTTTGTCAGACTTGCTGTGGTCACGTTCTTCCGACTCGAATCCACTTGTCCGAGCATGCGGTTGTGATTGTGTGGTAGGCCAGCGTGAAGATCAACCATATGTTCCTGAGTTGAAACGTCTGGCGCGACAGATGGCTGACTCTTGCCTTTGCTACGGCATGTGAGGTATCGTCCAATCAATGTTCAACATTCTACAGCATCCCGTGTACGAGTTTGAAAGTAGGAGCTTGGGCATGAGGTTTGCTGTGGTTGGTTCCGCATGGGCTGTAGGTCCAGTTAGTAGTCGGTGCATGTCATTTGGTTCGGAGAACATGTTCCAGCTCACATGTCGGCTCTGGCACACGCATGACCGGTATGATGTTGTGTATGTGCGATAACCTCACGTAGAGAAGTATGGTCACATACCGTTGTGATGCGTGACAAGGAAAGCGTTCTGCAGCGCCTGGCTGCCAATGCCACAAAGTGGGGCTTGGATCAGCAGGTCTGGTTTCATGTTTCCACCATTTTGCATTCAAGTCGTGGGCAGTCTGTCAGGCACTGGATGGAAAGCTCGCAGCGCAGCCCTCCACACAGTCCAGAGCTGCAAACAAGTCTGCAAGACTGGACAAACTGAGGTTAAGGCCAGTCGTACGTGTGTGATCTGTGCTTGCAAGCTACCTGGGATTCCCACTCAGCAAGTCAGGTGCCAAGACTTGGAAGCGGAAGTGCGCAGGCATAAGCAGGAGGAGGACAAAAGAAAAGCTGAAGTGCTGGCAAGATTCAAGGTGCCTGTCGCTAGTAACCTCCCAGTTCGAGTCCTCCATTGATGCTCATGGTCAGGCGCAGTACGATGCCATCTTGCACTCCCAGGAGCAGGACGCGGTGTTTTGCTCTGTGATGTACAGGAACCTGTTGATTGTTTGTGATGCTCAGCCGCACTGTTCTGTCGAAGGGTCAGTCAGCAAGTTTCTTTTGTTTTCAGCCTATGTTCGGGAAACCCTATGGAAGGGCTTGCATGAACGGCTTAAGACTTCTTTGAAAAGTCAACATGAAGGCTGTCTCCCACGAGCGAGAGGCCTCCACATTTAAGAACGTTTTCACGTCAAGTGGGAGGTCGTGGGACATTATAGGTGAAATATTTTGAAGCTTGCTTAAATAAAGTTGCGTAGCTTGTGCGTGTTCTGAGACTTTGACGATTTTGCTTGAATGTTAAGAGCCTTCGTGTGCAGACAGACTCGGCCCGTCAAGCAGGCTGTTCGTGCAGTTTCTTCGACTGAGTCTTTGGACATGTGTTTCATAGACTTGTATAAGGTCTCCCATCCTAGATTCATGTGCTATTGCAGGACTTGCTCCAAATTCGCAGAGCAGTTGCTGTGACGGAGGCGCACAGACACCGACACAGATCCATGGTCCCCATGATGGAGCAGCGCATCAGGATGGTGCCTACAATGGGACGTTGCTCGGTCAAGAGCTGTCGGAACAGCTCAAAAGCATCCAGAGCCAGCTTTCCAGTACGAAGGCCAGGCATCGCCAGCATCAGTCAAGTCGTCGACTTCGGCTGGCCACGAGGCTCACGTCATCGAGCTGGACAGCTTGAAGCTCAACTTGGATAAGATCGAGGATCAGCAGCGCAGGACGTCCAAAAGGTGTATGTTGTACTGTTCACAGGGATCGTTTTGTTCGGTTCTGCATGCAACTTGAAGAAGTCCAGGCTTAAGGAGGGCTTGTAATGAACCCCTGTCGGCCAACCATCGAGCGTCTCCGCAGGGCGATTCCTCCAATGGAAGCCTTGTTGGCCAGCACTATGGACACTTGGCCAGACGACACGGAGGACGAGATACTGGCTGCCAACATCCGGAAGGGAGAGCAGGCAGCACTTGTTAGCCTGTTGTGCAACCTAGCATTTCTGGGCCCACCAGGTGTGCAAAAGACTTCGGCAGCATCAGTCCTATTGAGAGCTGGGCAGTCTGGTCGTGAGCACCCAAGCTCATGCCGTGCCAATTGACAGCACGAGTTCTCTTCAGCGCGAGGAGAATAATTCGGGAAGGAGTGCTTGAGTGAAAGCGATTGGGGCAAAAGTGGTCTTCCTAACAGTGTGTCCGTGTGTTATGTCGACTGCGACACACGGTGATACTACCAGTCCTGCCTCGAAGTTGTTTAAGAGCTGCGTGGATCCTTCTGAACTCTGCATTGCTCTTGTCTTGATCTGTCGGTTCAAGGTCTATTTGCCTGCGGCCTGAAGCCTGCATGTAAGCACAGCGGGACTTTGTCTTCTGAAGTTTCGAGCTGCTTCCCATGAGCCACTGAATGGTCCGTGGCGAGTCGGCCTCAGTGACCTTCCATTCGCAATGCAATGAAGAGTCGGCGTTTCAATGATACAGCCGAGTCATGAACAAGGCCCTGGCCCTGTGTCAATCAGAGCTGGGTGCAGCTCAGGCTGCTTTGGTGGTGCGGCTTGCTGTGGCAGTGGCGGTCCATGACGGCCTCTTCCAGGCATCTGGATATACTGCACTGATCACCACGTCTCGTTAAGTCACTACGCATGCAATGCAGGCTCCAGCTTTCCTGAACTGTAACGGGCCACCCTTTGCTCCGGTATGGTCCGTCGACGACTAAGAGCCCTGAACTTGCTTGGAGATGCAGGGCATCTTTTTGCTTGTGTGCGAAGGCTTTCCGAGATGCTGCTATTTTCAATGCTCGCGCTGGCTATCCACGAAACGAAAGCCTTCGCAGCATGGCTGTCGAGCTGATAAGCGGCTTTGAGGAAAGCCAGAATCCAAGTTGTTGTGACGGCTGGCATGTGAGCCTGTGTTCGGTGTGCAAGCAGCACGAGGCATGATCGGAGGAGCCAGGGCTTGGGTTGTGCATCTTCGCACCGCTGCGACTGGTGACATCTTCGAGCTCAGGCCGAGACTTTTTTCCCCAAACCCCAAACCGTGTAGCATTCGCATGGGCTAGCACGATGGAGGTCCCACAGCACGGAGAATGCGGCATTCATGGGACAAGGCGTCCAAGGCCTGCGGAGTACTCGTAGGATGCAGGGAACCACAGAAGCCATTGTCGACCTGAGTAAGTGGACAGTGGAGGTTTAGCTGCTGGCTGTGAAATGTTGAAGTCTTAGGCAATGTGCCTGCGACGATCAAGAACATCGAAATCTAGCGTATGGGCAGAACTGAAGTGGTCTAAGTCGGATTCCGTCCCCAGTCGGTTCTCCTGCCGGCACTTTCTTGGTGCTCAAAGAACAGGGCATACGGATGGCCTTTGCCCCTGGATCTTCGAAGTGGGGGAAGGTCTTGGAAAAGAAGTTTTCTCTGAGTCAGCAGCCTGTTTTCAAGCGTACAGACTTGATGTCGAACTAGTGCAGGCTGACCCTCTCTGGGCAGCTTCATGAGTTGTTTGGGACAACCTTCGATCCAAGCGAGCATCGACTGAACTCCTCTCCCATCCTCCTTTTAAAGTGTGTGTGCTCACGAGCCAGAGAAAGACAGCGGTTATTCTAGAGTAGAGAAGCGCGACATGTTGCGTTCAGAGGCTAAGCTAGTCTCTGCTTGCCGCTGTTGGGATCGGCTTCGTGCGAGAGTCATGGCAGGCAAGCCAGGGCCTTTGGGTTCGTCGTTGCGGGCGTCCCAGCAGGCAACTTCTTTCGCCACGACCGGAAGCCTCCGAAGCCTCCGGACAGGCTTAGCCCTGGCTTTCGGGCAGGTGAACGCGGATCACCAAGATCCAATGGCTTTCTGCCTCTATGGCTACGTTCACGCGCTTTTCGTGGAGTACAGGCACACTGTGCCCTTCGAGCACGCTGGAGGACTCTTGTGGCGGGGTTTCCATTTCTTCTACCAACGCCACGCGGAGGACCCTTCCTGAACCCAGACGACCCTCGGCGGGCCACGTGCCATGACCGACGGCCCTTGCTCCAAGTCGTGCGAAGCTGAGAGAGCCGCACGAAAAAATCATTAGGATGCGGCTTCGAAAGAGCATCTCAGGCGGAGCAGCTCTTGGGCGGAGAGACCGGTGAGACGGACTTCCTCGAGAGCTCAGACTGGCCGTTGTCTTCCCTTGACTTACATCTTAGCTTCTCAGCCTCAGCTTCAGTCGAGCGCAGAGTCTCGCAGAGACTACCTCCCGCTCTGCTTCCAGGCTTGCACTCGACGCTGGACTTTCGATCCTCGCCGAATTGCCATGAAATCTTCGATCCGCAGCTTCTGTCGAGATCTGCTGTGCAGGTGCCCGTGTATATCTCTGCCTAGATTCGTTGCACAGCATGTGCGGTAGAGCCACGGCTACTTGGCAAGGAGCTTCTGCGCTTGCCAGACGATGTCAGCAGCTGGAATGCGAGGCCATTCAAGGTTGCGGCGCTTGGTCTTCACGTTGCCAGCACTCTGGAGCCTTTTGCAGCCATTCGTCCTGACCCCAGTCTTTGTCAGGGACCCGCTCGCGTCTCTTGTCAGCATGTCGCCCTTCCAGGCGAAGCTGCACGTCGATCTGGCCTGGAAGGTGGACGTGTTGTGCACCTCCAGATGTGAAGGCAAGAAGTTGCGGATGTGTCCTGCAAGATGGCCTTGACGTGTTCTTTGCTGGGCACCCGTGCTATGGCCGGCCTGGAGACAAGACGCTGAAGCACGCCTGCATTCACAAATGCAGACAGCCTACGCTTGCACCGTGAGTCCACAGAACAGATATAACGGACTGTACATGAACTGTACAAGGTCAGATGCTGGGTTCTCCATGTGAAGACGATGAGGTCGTTCCAACCTCAGGATGAGACGCTTTTGGGGCAACCCCGCGGATACGAGATTGTCTGAAGGCCGAATTTCTCAAGCGCATGTTCAACAGCTCAGGCTTTTATGTGAGGTTCCCCAGTTCTGTATTTTCATGCTCGCTGTCTGATGCTCCATCGCAATCGAGTGTTGCGTAGTCCGGAACTGCAGGAGGAAGTTCCGTGGTCGGTGTCGGAAGCTCTCAGCGAGCTAAGTGGCCTGTGGCAACGCGAACCTGCCATCAGCAGTGCCGACTTCATCATATGCGGGAGTCCGAAAGCAGAGCATCGCAGTACCGTTGCATGGTCAAACAAAAGTGGAACAGAAACTGAATGAAGCGAGGTTCGGGCCCAATGTCCCTGTGCTACTTGATTGACGTGCTCGCCCCCTCGACCCCATTGGCGGCACGGCAGCAAATCGGACTTCTTGCAGGGTACATCGCTGTAGAGCCATCGAGGTGGTGCCGGTTTGCTCTCAACTGCTTTGGGGAGCTCCGCCTGGCAACGACTTTCGAGCGGCTCTCTTGTCACACGCGCGAGGCTTAATCCGGCAAGAGTGTTTTCCAGGCTCCTCTTGCTCCAGATTCCTCGTCTTAGGTTCGCATCATGATGCAAAATCCCAGGCCAAGCCCGGCTGAAGGCAGGATTTTCGGAAATCCGAGCTTGGCGTCCAGGCGAGTTGTGGTGGCATGCAATGTCTTTGCGGCTTCGCAGTGCCTCTATCAGACTGGGGCCAGTCTTCCGGCTTCGGCCTCAGGACTCAGAGCCAGAGCATGCCAGAGCCATGCGTGAAAGTCTCGAGGTGGTCGAGCGGGTGGCACACTACCTTCCACCTGACGTGGTTTGGAAAGCTCAGGATGCAGATCATTGGAAGGAGGTGCCAACATGCACAGCAATTCAAAACGACAGTCCAGATGTGGCCGGTGCCTAGAAGAGGTTTTGGTCCTTCGAGCCCGCTACTGGCACCGACTTCCTGGGCAGTACTTCATGGATGTCCTCGAATCCTACCTCAGGCTGAATCAGGTCAGCTTGAGGCTCAGTCCGTCAGGGATCAGGTTCTGGTCAGATGGGAACCCGGCTCCGTATCGAGGCCACAACTACACCTTCGTCATGGCTGCATCTTTTGGGCCCGACGAGCTACCGACTCCCGATGCAGAGTGTAAGGTGACCTGTTTCGTTATTGTCGTTGCTAGTAAGCTGGGAGAAGATTTGCTTGCAATGCTCTGAGGCCTGAGGAAATCGCCAACTATCGTGCAACGGTCCTCGTTCCCAACGATTTGACAGTGCCTCCTCCTCGTTTGCTTTAAACCTGGGGCTGTCGTGTGCGCGGCACCAAACGAGCGAACATGCCAGGTCTTTGCTTTCATCGAAGTCTATGCATTAGGCCGTCAGCTTTCGCTCTGACTCTGATGTTCAGTCAGCCGCACGGTCGATGCCAGGGGTTCCGGTCTTTGTTCCACGCCCCTCGTGGCTTTATCGCTTGCGACGTGTCCTACGCTGAGCTCCTACCTTGGCGGCATCTGTTGCTGTCAAAGTCCGGCTTCCAAGGCTGCGCCGTTTGGCTTTCTCCAGCCAGCATTTGCCCTTCCAGACGTCTCTGAAATACATCACAAGTTCTCGTCTCGTCCACAGCAGCCTCTTGCAGTGTTTCGAGGTGCTGGACATGCTAGCAACAGACAGTGTAACCTTTGTCGAGGCATGCTCCTTTCCTCAGTGGTGCTGGCGGGCGAGAAGACCTTTCTGCATTTCTATTTTGGCAGAAAACGTCTGAGCTCCACTCCAGACCACATGCAAGAAGCCCAGAAGAGAAGAAGCCACCATCCTGCATGCGCCGCAGCTTGTTCGAACTCGTTGAAGCGAGGTGCAGCAATTCAGCAGCATCCCCGAACTGATCCAACTCAGCGGATCCGTGGATCTGAATGCCGTGAGCCGTGGGATGCTGGAGCATTTGAAAGAGCTTCGCAAACGGGCTCTGGCCTTCTGGACGAACGTTCTGCACAGGTCCCTGGAGGAAGGCCCTGCAGAAGGCTCCGGGCGAGAGCCCGCGCCCTCCGAGCACCAAGCCGCCGGCGCCCCTGTTGCCCGTGGCATCTCTGGCCCTGGTGGCCTCCACGCTGTCCTCGACTGTACCTCGGAGGAGCACGGGGCCGCTGCCTCAGCGGTCCCCTTCGTCCAGAACGCATTGTCATGAGACACTCT